TGGTGGTGTTGTTATTGGTGTAGATGGTAGTGGAGCTGACGTTGGCCAAACGTGTGATTCTATCCAATCCAAATAGTAAGCGACTCTGGTGTAAATGGCTGGTAGTTTTAGGTTACATGCAAAACCAAACGATGCAATGCCTACGACGGTTGCTGTTCTTGAATTATTCGAGAAATATTGTAATGCTGCACCACCATCACCCTTGCATCCATCACTACTTTCCAGTGGATCATATGTACAGTATTGCCCGTAGGTAAGATCATTTCTGTTCAAATTCTTAACTTTTATACTGCAGTTCGACAGTGGCACCGATACTACTTCAATTTTACGTAAGCTCTTTGATCCATCATTCGCTTGAATTGAAATTTAAACGTTTTAATTTCGTTTTACAAAGCTTAAAATTTAAATATAACCTACAATAAGGCGATCTTGCTCCCCATGTTATTAACGTAAGCGGCACATTCGATGGCAAGTCATTCGCATCTAAGTGTAAACAGGCTGGACTAATAGAATGTGTTAATGGTACTTCGCCTGCAATTTCAATCAGAGCGATATCATTTACTTTGGTTTCACTGGAATGCTCAGGATGCACAATGACCTCCTATTCAAAATGATTCACATTATTTTTTTAAGTTTTTGTTATAAAATCAAATAGTTTAACCTTTATAGTGAAATTGGTTGTCATGAATTCGCCATGGGTCGCTGATTCCTGTTCAATAATATTAATGAAATACGTTTTGAAATTAAGCAATGCTTTCTTTTGTTACCATTCCTATTCGAACGACAGTCGGATGCTTCCACGATACACAATATGCTGCAGTGAGTACGAAACGTTCCGAAATGATGGTAGCACCACAGTAAAAGTTCACGGAGTTTTGGTCGATATTCGCATAGCCAAGAGCAGCCTATAAATTAAAATGGAATGAACAAAATTGATACATTTCTAGTCAAGTGTTTTATTTACACGAAATTAATGTTCTTGTGCTAATATTAAAACATTATGACTAATCACTTGGAGAAAAGAGCAATGTTAATGAATGCATTCGTTGGAAATGCGTTTGTTTTTTCCACATTCGAACGAACAGCAACACTTCTCTCTTGGGAATTTTATGTCCAATGCTTTAATTTGAGTGAAAATCCACAAAAATGTCAAATAATGGACAAAGAATTCTATAAAGAGAAGTGAAATCCGGCAACTCTAAATGTGAATTGAAGCTTTATTGACACTTGACACTTGAAGTTCAACCGAAAAATCACTAAGACTTGGCGTACTTATTCTATAATGCCCTATGGCATGACACAATTCGCCTTATTTTAAAGCATTCTTTATTCAAAAATGTTGAATAAAAATGTCAAAAATATTCAATATATTACCATCCATGGGAATTTCTCAGAGAAATCCAGTCTTTGTCTACTCTTTGTTTCGTCACTCACGCGAACTGCCTGTGATTTACATTCTAGACGAATAAAAAAGTCATAATTAAAAAAAATAAAATTAAAATTAATTGAGCTTCATCACCCTTTTGTGCGGGACGAATTGAGTCATCTGTGGGAGTAACTGTAGTAAAACTTGTCTTTTTAATTGGGGGAACTGTTGAAGTATCATTATACATATTAAGGATTTCGATGATTTTTGGTCTTCCTGATATGTGTAAAAGGAAAAGAGTTTTTTCTCGATAAATCCATGACAATGTCAAAAAAATATATAGTTGTAATCAATAACAATACCGAGTCTAATAGCAATGTCGAGAGGTGTGTCATTTTTTTTATTTTTTAAATTGGCATTGGCTCCATTTTTCAATAAAATTCTCACTGTCTTCTTATGACCTGAAAAACAATCAAAAATATTAACTAACAGACAAATTTCCTTATTAGTCTTACTACCTTTGCTAGTAGCCGTGTGAAGTGGTGACCATCCATTTTGATCTTGTATGTTAATATCAGCACCACGTTGGATTAATGTTTCAACGATATAATCATTACCTTAATTTTGCATAAAAAATATACATTTTCATTCAATTCGTAATGGTGAATTCATGACTAAAGTAATAAAAATAGATCAAACCCGCCATTGCAGCATCGAATAATGGAGTTTCTCCAGTAATGGTCTGTAGATTAACAGCTGCCTTCTTTCTTAGTAACAGCTCAACTATTTGCATATGACCTATGGAAATGATTTTCGATACAAATTTTAAGAAAGGTTTTTGCATTTTTGTGATCTAAAACATTTCATTGTATTTTAAAATAACCTCGATTTGCAGCGACATGTAAACTAAAAAATAAATTATGTAAGTAACTATGTTTTAACTAAGTTTTATATACTATATAAATCACCTTGTCCATCCATACTTTTCTATTGTATTTACATCGGCACCATGTTCAATCAGTATTTCAACGACACGTTCATGACCTTAATTTGATTAAAGATACGTTTCATTCACACATATTGTGCGTCTTTTATGACCATTGCATGTCGCCTTATAAATATTCAAATGTAAAGAATTTTAATACCATTAAACGCAGCGGCGTGAAGCGGACTTGATCCATTCTTATTCTTCCAATGAATATCAGCATGTTTACTTAGCAAGAACTCAACTACACTTCTTCGATCTGAGGATATATAGAATCATAAATTTGTACATTGTACATTGACAGCGTTAATAATGTGAAATTACTATTTTCTGCTGCTTTAAATAAAGCTGTTTCATTATCACTATCGAAAACATCAACGTAGACTCCATTATTTAGCAATTCTTTGATTTTTTTTAGATGACCTGTATCGAATGATAAGCGTGATTGAAAAATTCTCCCATAAAAGTTTGAAATTACGGTAATTCCATGCAAAGGAGAACAAAATTCACACGGTCGTTCTAATTTTTGTGATTTCAATGGAATTGCCGTTTAAAATTCGTCAGATTTCCATTACTCACCATCACGAGCTTCATTATGAAATTTTTGCCATGGTTTTCTGTAGTAAAAATATTTATAAATTCATGATTTAATACAGTAAATACGTTCGGGGTAGGATTCATATAGTCAGTTTCATATTCATGATTATGATAGTAGTTGAATTGTACTTACAAATATCCAGACTGAAGTCGGATGCCTAAATGATATTAAAATTAGTAATGAACGACATTAGACAGATTCAGGTGGTTTCATTTTTATAATAGATCAGAAATTCATTTTTGCATACGGCGGACAATATAAGCTTTTAAGTGTATTTAAACTGCACAGTATGAATATGCATATTGACCAGGGACCGGTTCGCGCATATTTCTATGCAAGATAGCTATGCTAAGCATTGCGGAGAGTCAAGCCGCAACGCATCCGTTGCCATTCGATTCGAGCTATATCTTATGCGTACGTCTCTCAAAGCACGGCCGCCTGCATACACGAACATGTGTATGTTCATACAGAGTGGACGGCGATGCGTCGGTTGCATTTGCCGCTATGCTTGGCATATCTATGCCACCTAACGTATCTAGGCAAGCTTGATCTTGACATGTGGCCGTTCATGCTCAAGTTCATGCTAAAAAACTGAATTCTTAAATTTAATATAAAAGTCTTTGCGAATGAAACATACCTGTTGCGTCATTGATCAAAACAGCACCAAAACATAGAATAAACACGATGATTGATTTCATTATTTAAATTGACACGTAATCCAATTGGTTTCAATTTTTACAACGACGAAACAAAAACTAAACTGAACTGACAAAAAAAAAACAATTTTAGCTCCAACTTTCCGATCGACCACAGACGAATTAAGATGAAATTGAACTGATTTTTTGAATTTTATTTCATTAATTCACACCAATTATCATTTCTTTATTTGAGTACATTAGTAGCAATAATGCTTCTGATAATCATAGCATTTCATCGAATGGGCGAATGGCCTTGATATTGACCTGCTGAGAAATGTGTGCTTTTGAAATTTATACAATATACACCCCAGTGCTTATGTGAGCGTTGATAATACTTGTTTGTGAATTTTAAATTGTATTGCGTATAAAAGATCCTGTAATTTAAAGGCAACAACAATATGTGCAAATTAAATGACGAAATTATCAGCTTGGAAATACCAATTTTTAATAAATATTTTGATTATTTTTTATTCATTCTTTCCAATTACAGTACTAACTAGGTTAGGATGTTCTTCTTCTCTGAGACTTTTTTTTGTCCAATGCCATTATTTGATGCTTTTGTGGATTTTCACAAAAAAAGGTGGCTCTTTGCCTATTTCGGAGCGACGGAGATTGTAATCACAAAATATTGAATCGAAAAATAAAAGAAAACCATTTACTACGTATTTAAGTTTTTATTCTTATCACCAAAAGCTGTTTCATAATAGTAAAAGACAGATAAATCATAAATGAATGTAAGAAATCTTGCAGTATAGCTACACACACGGTTGTTTATCTGCAACTATAATCTCCACATGTCGATGGGTTTCAGCTTGTATGTATGGAAGTATCATTTGGACAATTCATTTCATCACTACCGTTCTTGCATTCTGGGGCTCCATTACAACGAATTGACGGAGGATGGCATTTATTATCACATGCTATTTCACCTTCATTACGTTTTTCTAGTAAAAGAACACAGAATTCATTTGAAATGGATAAATTGAAGTGGCTTTTCATTTAAAATTACAAAAAGAAGATCGAAAAATGTATCAACAACATTCACTAAATGTACATTTGGTGCTGTTGCTCCATTCGACACATTCATTCTTATGATTAAGGAAATTTTGTTTCTTATTTA